GTTATATAGGATAAGGATTATGATAATTTTATGTTTAAAAAAGAAAAAAATGTAAAATCAAACATAATGGTTTAAATTACTCTATTACCCATTTGAATAAATCAGTTAAATACAAGTTCGGTGCAAAAATGGTATTTAAATGCCAGGATTGTTGTTATCTCGTCCAATAGCTGGGATTGAGTTATCCGATGAAACCAGGATTACAGGTGTTTCAATCCGAGCTGAAGGGATTCCAACGCGTCGTCATCCTTCCAACCAAACGAGGGATTAAGGTAGGATAGGCAGTATATCCTGCCTAATCCTTCAAAGCAAACAAGGGTTGGTGGGAAAACCTTATCATATTAAGTAAATGCCCAACATTTTTAAACGTACCATGTGTGATCTACGGAGCAATAGTATAGATTAAAGCAATAAAAATATTGATTAGTATTAAAATAGTTTTGAATATTAATATTGAGTTTTACTTTTTCTTTCATTTTTATGATATATAATAGTTTAATATATAAATTACATGTTTCTTTTCACCCCTCATAAAAATAACCATCATTTTAGAGCATCTTCAATGTGGAAACATCCACCCTTAAAAATAGAGGCCACATGGCATAAAATGAATGGAACTGTCAATATAGAATTATTTGGAAAGAGACTAAAATTCTTGGTAACTTCCAGTGCGCTATTTTTTCACGTTTATTTTTTACTCAGACTGTCCAATACACTGTTTAAAAGCAAACAGTAGGCTTGACTACTGTTATGCCACATCAAAAAAAACTGCCCCATGACAGTGTGCATTGTAAATGAAAATATGAAGACATTGTGACATGGCATAGATTTTTTTTCTTTTGACAGCCTACACTGGAGATGCTCTTACAATTTCTTTTAGAATTAAGGAATATGAAAATTTAATAATTTAGAGTTCATGCAACTGAAATGCCATCCTTTCCTAGGCTAAATCTCTCGAAGAAATACTTGGAGAGGTCATGGACCGCTCATGTTCGTCGTCTCTTCTCATAATAGGTGGATGATTGGTGTTAGGAACGAGCATGGGACTCGGAGAATTCTAAATGGTTCTGAAAACTGAACCGAAATTATTACAAAGCGAAAAATAATTGTTGATCATTTGACTTTCTCCAAACCGAAACGAACCAAAAAAAAAAAAAAAAAAATTGGTATGATTCTGGAGATTTCACAATTATCTGCACCGAGAACCGAACCGAACCTTCCAATCCCGTACCAAACCGAAGAACCGAATTATAACATTAGATGTGTGTTATTGTTATATTTTATGTCAACTTTGATTCTATATAATTTGAGATTTTTAAAATACAAATAAAAAATAGTAATAACAATGAAGATTCACTAAATTTCATAATTAGTAATACTTGATCTACAATTGATTTTTCCCGTTTTAAAAAATAATTAAAATAGAATGAAAGGCTAAAGGAATATATTTTTAAACAAATATTTAAACTTTTTTTTTCGATCGGTAAGGTAAATGTAAATATATAGATAAAAAATGAGTTCGGACAACCGAAAGTCGGCGAACAAAAGCAAAATGGGCAAGCACAAATCGGCTCCTCATTCGCAATAAAAGAAAAGCGAGGCGAACCACAGATCGGTTGCTCTATCCAAAATCACGAAAAAATAAGGCACAGGGTTCCAAGGGACCTCGGCAACACAGACGGCTTGGTGTCACGCCGGTGGACGCATGCAAGCAAGGACGCATCAAATATATAAACTTTACTTACATTTGTCAATACTTAGTCTTATTTTATATTAGGGTAAATTGCAATTTTGATACCCAAACTAAAGTTCATTTCGGAATCAGTACCCGTTTTTTAACATTTGTAAAATCAGTACCCAAACTTTCATTCTGTTAGCAACGTTAGTACCCGGCCATTAGATCTCCGTTAAATTTCCGTTAGTTGTTAACGGAAGTAGGCAAAATGGAGAAAATTTTTATGTTTTTTTGGCTCATGATGAAATCTATATACATAAGATATTTGTACCATTTTTCTTTTCAAAAAAAGGCAGCCTCCACTATTTATAAGAAACAAAATTGGATAAAATCGATTTTTTTTGGAAAAAATATAATAAATCGAGAAAAATGAAAAGACATGGTTTCTCTTCTAGTTCATGCAGTATATATTGGAATAATAATTTTCCAATAACAAAAATACAAATTTCCTTCTATTTTGCCTACTTCCGTTAACAACTAACGGAAATTTAACGGAGATCTAACGGTCAGGTACTAACGTTGCTAACAGAATGAAAGTTAGGGTATTGATTTTGCAAATGTTAAAAAATGGGTACTAATTCTGAAATGAACTTTAGTTTGGGTATGAATAATGCAATTTACCCTTTATCTTATAACTAACATGGTATTGAATGTTAGAGAAATATTACTTTAATAAAAAACTATATTATATTTTGTTTAAATTTTAAAATTTCAATATTAGTTGCACAAATTTAGTCTTAACGTTGATTTAAAACTATATTTTGTTAGTTGCACAAATTTAGAGTTACTTATAAAGTTAGATTTAAAAATAAAATCTTTAATATGATGAAGTATTGATGAAGGATTAAAAAAAAAGCATATAAAAAAATAAAATATAACTAGGTGGTCATTCAAAAAAATTAAAAAAATAACTATAAATCTTCTAATATCTGAACCGAACTAAACCGAACTGAATCGTTCCGATAGTCTTGAATACCGAACTGAATCGAACCGAAAAAAAAAAAATAAAATATAACTAGGTGGTCATTCAAAAAAATTAAAAAAATAACTAGAAATCTTCTAATATCCGAACCGAACCAAACCGAACTGAATCGTTCCGATAGACTTGAATACCGAACTGAACCGAAACGAAAAATAAAAATCTCCGGACGAACCGAATGTTTGGTACGGTTCCAGAGATCAAATTTTAGTGATCTCTGAATTTCAATATGGTTCTAGAGATTTATCAATCTCCGAACCTTACAGACCCATGATCACCCCTAATTGATGTCACGAGAAGCTGCTTCTAGCAAAATACCCCTAGGTTGGCGTTTATGGGTAGGCATTGCCTCGTTAATCATCTTTTCAAGCTCTGCCCGAGTTATCTGAATAATTTGCTCCATCGGAGAACCATTCCACCCCCCCTCCCCCCCAACTCTCTTGGTTATTGCCTTGGTTTAAGTGCTTTCGCTATCTCATCATCACTATTG